AGTTCCCTCCCAGTTCATCCCAGTTCCCTCCCAGTCCCTCCCAGTCCATCCCAGTCCATCCCAGTTTAATTTTCCCCCGCTTTTTAATTTTATTTTTAATTAATTTTTATTTCCCCCTCAGGCCGCTCCCGCTTCGGCGCCCCCTGGCCCCGCCCCCCGCGCGGGCGGAGCCTCCCCATCGCCGCTTCTGATTGGTCCGCTGTGTGACGGTGGGCGGGGCTTCTCTGCGCTCCCGTTGGAGGCCCCGCCTCTTGAACCCCATTGGCTGCAGACCCGGAAGTGGGCGGGGACTCCGAGGCGCGGCCTAGAAATGGGGACGGGGTCTCAGAGGAGCCAAAATTGGGGAATTTCCACCCAAAACCCCCCCAAAAGTTGGGAATTTCCACCCCAAATCCCCCAAAATCGGGGAATTTCCACCCAAAAACCCCAAAATTTGGGAATTCCCACCCAAAATTTGGGAATTTCCACCCCAAATCCCCCAAAATCGGGGAATTTCCACCCAAAACCCCCCAAAATTTGGGAATTTCCACCTAAAACCCCCAAAATTTGGGAATTTCCACCTATAATTTGGGAATTTCCACCCAAAACCCCCCAAAATTTGGGAATTCCCACCCAAAATTTGGGAATTTCCACCCAAAACCCCCCAAAATTTGGGAATTCCCACCCAAAATTTGAGAATTTCCACCCAAAACACCCAAAATTTGGGAATTCCCACCCAAAATTTGAGAATTTCCACCCAGGACCCCCCAAAATTTGGGAATTCTCACCGTGGGGGGGGTCCCGGGGGGATTTTGGGGGGTCCTGGGGGGGTCTCGAGGCTTTTCCCCGAAGGATGTCGATCACCTGGAGGGGGAGGGGAGGGCTCAGAGACCCCCAAAATCCTCAAATCCCACCCCAAAATCCCCCAAATCTGACCGCAAATCCCCAAAATCTGACCCCAAATCCCCCAAAATCCGACTCCAAATCCCCAAAATCCCCCAAAATCTGACCCCAAATCGCCAAAATCCTGAAAATCCGACTCAAAATCCCCAAATCTGACCCCAAATTCCCCAAAATCCGACTCCAAATCCCCAAAATCCCCCCAAATCCAACCCCAAATCCTCAAAATCCCCCAAAATCTGACCCCAAATTCCCAAAATCCTGAAAATCCGACTCAAAATCCCCAAAATCCGAACCCAAATCCCCCAAAATCCGACCCAAAATCCCCCAAAATCCCCCAAATCCAATCCCAAATCCCCAAAATCCCCCAAAATCCCCCAAATCCCCCTCAAATGCC